GCCCCTTCGGCCGCCGGCTCTTCGGGTGGCCCCCCACCCCCACGCATGCTCCCCCTTATCTTATCTCGTGCGAAAACCTGTGCCCTTACCTTGCTGGCGGGCTTCCAGCTCTTTTATTTCCAGGTCATGGGTGAGCTCTGGAAGAGAAATCAAACAGGAGTGAGAAGGAGCATCCCACCCATCCTGTGTGCTCCCCGTGTCCCCCCTGCTCCCCGACGGGGCGCTGGCAATCACCGTGGCTGCGGCGCTGCCTCTGCCCGGCCAACGGCGTGAGCGGGGCCATCTCAGAGCACCACAAGCTGAGCCAAAAATAGACAATTCCAGCAATTTATACGTTATTAAGCAGGTTTGGGATCTGGCAGCTGCCGCAGCACTTGCCCATGCGACGTGGCCACGGCAGTGTCTGCAGGTCCTGCCCACAGCGGAGCAGGAGGCTCAGCTTCTCCAGCAATGCCTTTTCTTTTTTCTAAGAGAGTTGCAAACCATTTTCGGTGCTTTAAACCAGGACAAAGAGCAGAGCACTGGACTGAAAATAGACCAAAGTGTAAGCTGCCGCCCCAAGTATTTCATAATTTACTGCTTCCAGGCTGATCTCTGCCTCTGCACGTGACGCCAGTGGGACGGCCGTGTCCCTGCGCGGTGTGCCCGCAGGATGCTGCCCTGCTCCGGGGGCAGTGTGTACCTCCGACATCCTCCGCAGCCTGCCACCGAGCGCAGCCCGGGCGCCGCGGGTATCTCCCTGGGCAGAGGGGGACAAGGCAGCAGCAGCGCTGGAGAGGAGCTGCGGTTTGCGGGATGTGGCCCACAGTCTCCCGAGGGCTCCGCAGGGCTGCTGGACACAGACGGCCGTCCCGGGCGGGGGCGGCAGTGCTGCCGGTCGGGGGCAGGCAGCTGCAGGCAGAGCTGCCCCGTGCCCGCGCTGTGCCCGGGAGCAGCAGCGGTGGCAGTGAGGGCAGTGTCCTGCGGGGATGAGCCCACCCCAGGGCTGCAGACCCTGCCTGCCGGCTCAGCCCTGACACGCTGCCTGCTCTCTGCCTGCTCGCTGCCTGCTTGCTGCTTGCTCTCTGCCTGCACTCTGCCTGCACTCTGCTGAGCCCCGGGTTACAAAACCAGCTCACAAAGGGCAGCGAGGGAGGGAGCTCAGGGACTTTCTGGAGTTCACTTTAACCTGCACACCTTTACAGACAATCTCTTTCCAATTTATTATCAGAGCCCCCCAAACCGCCAGCAGCTCCGAGAGGAGGAGGAGAAGGGCAGCAATAGCATTCAGTTGTTTGGGGGCTTTTTTTCCCCCTGAAAATGAGTTCAAATGGTTAATCTTTGCCCTACATTTTTCTTTTAATCTGCTTTCACGTTGACTCTAATCCTCATCACTGCCGTGCTTCTGAAACGAAACACTTGGCTCAGGCTGCTCTGCCCGTCTGTCTTGGAAAACAAATCTGTAGTGAGAAGGCAGAAGTAACTGAGAATGTAATGCAGTTTCTGGAAAGCTTTCAGCACTCCCAACTGCCCCGCTGGAAATCAAAGGCAACCGTGTTATTTTTCTGGAGTTAAAATAATAGGTTTGGAGTCTCAGATATATTTCAAATGAAAACTAAAGCAGTCGCCCATTTCCAAAGAAGACTTTGTCCTGCTGAGCGGGCGCAGGGCTCGGGGATGATGCACAACCCGGGGTCCCTGCTTCCGCGCTGGAGCCACGAGGGCTGGTGGGAACCTGCCCCAGTACTTGCCCCCATGACTGCCAAGCGGCAAACCCAGGGGACAGCACCCCGCAGGGCTCTCGGGTGCTCCCAGCTGCTCTGCACTCCTGCATCCTGCATCCCGCACGGCCGCAGCCGGCTGCCAGCAGCTCTCCCGCTCAGCCCCTCTGCCTCTGGGCGTCCCCTGCGCAGGGTGATGCACTTCAACTTGCCTGGTGCAGGATGCGGCCGAGGAGGGCTCTGTATTCCCTGCCGTGGGTGAGGACCCACGGCTCTGCCCCGCAGGAGCCCCCAGCCCCAGCTGCCCGAGGGCCTGTGACCCTCTTGGAGGCAGCTGTGTGCCCCTCGGGGGAGGATAGATGCTCACGGGCAAGCTAGAAATGGCTTTATGTAGGAAACGGCTGATCTCAACACGTCGGGCATCCCTTTGCTGCCTGGGAGCACTGTGCCGCCCCCCCCACGTGTGAGAGCGCGGAGCACAGCCCAGCTCTGCTCTCTGCCGCCCCATCTGCAGGGATTCCTCCCCAAACCCCGCTCCGCTCCCGGCACCAGCCCTCCCTCCGCCCTTCTGCCAGCACCGCTGAGCAGACTAATCATTGCCCCAAGGCTTGAGCTCATCTTCCAGTAAAAAGAGAAACAGAAGAGTCAGAGGAATCTATTGCTATTTCTGCTGTGTTTATACCTTGCAAATAAAACGGGAGTGGGAGGGAAGCCAACTCTCCTCTGTAACGCGAGGCTCGTTCCAATAAATGAATCACAGCGCGCGGCTCTGGGCTGCGCTACCTTCCTGTAAAGCCTCCGGCCGGGAACGCCGGGGCTGCGGGGCTTTGCTGGGGCCGGCTCTGCCCTGGCCCCGCAGCGAGGGCCGCGGCATTTGCCCCCTCCTCCTGCCTGGCTGCGGTGAAGGGCGCACGGCTGCCGAGGGCTCGCAGGGGCTGAGCACGCGGAGGCTCCGTCCCGCTTTCAGCTCTTGCTGCTGGCCCTCGCTGCGCGGCGGCGGTGGCTCCCAGGATGCCGGGAGCTTCCAGCAGGAACTCCCTTGGGCGCAGAGGCAGCAAACCTGGGGATTTATTTACTTGAATAAGGCCCCTTATGAACACGCTGTTCTGCTGCCGGGTCCAGCCTGGATCCAGAGGCGCTGGCTTGCTGCGTCCGCCCCCTGGGCCCCCCCTGGCTTGCCTCCCCCTCGGAGCAGACGGTCCCTCGGTCGGCGATGGCTCTGGCACCTGGGAGCTGCCACTGCTGCTGCCGCTGCAGGCGATGGAGCCTCTTGGGGCTGCGTAGGTGGCAGCTGAGAAAGCTCTGCAGGAGGGTGGGCACTTCCAATGGTGACGCCGCGGGGAGGCCGAGGGGATGGTGCAAAAGTTAAGGTCTAAACCAACAGCTCCAGGGCAGGCGATGCAGCTCCGCAGGGCCACACGCGCTGACTTACCGATGCCTCTTTCCTCCTGCAAACAGCCCCACCAGGCAATGGCGTTCAAATCATCAGCAAAGGCATCTTAAAACTAACCAGGGGCTTTGGCCCATCGCTCCTAACAGAGAGGTGTTGCAGAACCACACACGTCGCAGACGAGGATGTGACTCGTCTGGGCAGACAGCGCTGTCGCTCTGGGAAGGAGATCACCAATAACCAACTGTGCAATGGGCTTATTTCTGCCCCGGGGACTCAGAACCCCCCAGCCTGATTCAGGCACGAGAACTCTGCTGTCTTGCCTATCCGGAGAGGCTGTATGTGAAGCCATTAAAAGAAAACAATTGGAACAGCAAAAGCTCAGAAAGGATGGGGGAAAACGGACAATTCTATGAACGCAGACATGTCTTAGTTTCCCAGGAATCAGGGAGGACGAGAGGCTGGAAGACAAGGAGTAATTAGCTATGGCTGAATTATTGATGAGAGTGATGGCACAAGTTGGAATGTATCGGCGGCGGGCAGGAGGCCGGGGAGCCATGGCTTTAGCGAGGCTGGCTGAAGGGGAGGGTGACATTGCCGTGGCGGGGCCAGGGGCGGGGGGGTGGTGGCTGTGTGCCCCACAGCCCGGACAGTCCCTGAGCCCCGCACCGGACTCGTGGCGGTGCTTCCCGGGGACCGGAGGCAGGCAGACCCCAGCCACCCGCGGTAGGG